CGTACGGACACGGGATGGCGCGCGGACAATGAGGACAAGGCACCTTGGACACTCCGTACGGCATAAGGGAAAAGGACAAGGGGGCGCACACTACAAGCCAAGGGAGATGCACGGATGCACATGAAATTTGTTGGGCACGGATATGCACACGCCTAGGACACTCCGCCCACTAAGGATTGCACGGCTCACATGGACACGCACGGATTCTCTCGGTCACACGCGCGCACGGTCTTCATGACTTGTGTCGGCGGAACCTACGAACAAGCGCACGAGCACATGCACGGCTATATACTCGGACCGAAATGCACCAACACTTGCACGCGCGGAGCGCACGGCTTGCTCATGGACTTGGACCGAGCACACACACACACGGCATGCACATGAACTTGAACAAAATGAGATTAACACTTGGACTTAAATGCACACGGCCATGAACATGAACTCGGAATAAAATCCGAACAATTTAGCTAATCTCGTGATTAAGTTAAATTAATCACTTAATTATGTTTAATTATTCAATTAAACATAATGCTTAACTACCAAAATTATTTCGAACGTAAACGGTACGTTGAAAATAGTTCCGGTAATTTCTGACTGAAATAACTGAAATTAATTAACTCCGAAAAATAATATCGGAACTGAAATATTATTATACTGATAAAAGTCGGGATATTACAGATTGCATAAAAACAGGGTTAATTTAGGTTAAATTGGCATGATTGTTTGTTGTGTTTTTGTGCATATTTTCTTGTGTTTTATGTGCTTTAGTTGAGTCATTTCGTTTTAATGTCATTCGGTCCATTTTATCGTATTTTATTTGTTTTTGCTTTCGTTATGTGTTTCTTTATTTTTTTCGTATTTTCGCGTCTCTTTTGGTGTTTTGTTTAGGTCCCATTTGCAATCTCGGGAAGACGTGTAGTTCGTGTCATTGACCTAGACATTTCCGAGCCATGTCCGAATCTTATTCGAGCCATTCGGACCACTTTGAAGCCATCCCGAGCCATTTTTAAGACGCGAGTCGAACCCAAGGAAGTCCCTACACTCGCAGCTAGACGCGATTGGCGACCCGCGAACAGGCACGCTCCACACAAGCCCACAACTCGCTGCGGAAGAGATTTGGCGCCCCGCGAGATGATGCATGAGAGAAGGCCCATGCTGCGGCACTCGCTGCGAACTCATGTTCGCGTGCTGCGAAATGGTCTGCAAGAGAGCAACACTAGGCACTCGCTGCGGAAGTTGTTTCGCGCCCCGCCAAATGCCACTCCACAACCACCAAATGCCGAACTCGCTGCGAAATCAGTTTCGCAAGCTGCCAACCGCACATTCCAGCACACTATTCCCCCAACTCGCAGCGAACTTCATTTGGCGAGCTGCGAAATGCACTTTTCAGTTGATCTTTCACTCACACTCGCTGCGAATCCAGTTTCGTGACCTACGAACTTCATGATTTCATTAAATGTGTGTGTTTTTAGTGCGTGTTTGTGGTGTAGCTATATATAGACATTGTGCTTTGTATTTTTAGAGACAACTCTCATTTCCCAACTTTTAAGTTGGGAAAATCCTCTCTATTTTCTTTTTTTCTTTTTTTTTTATATTTTGGTTTAGAGCATATGAATCAAGTTTTCCGGCAAATTTCCGACGACATTGTTTCGAGTAATGTTTTGTGCTTTTGACTCCGTTTCTCCTTCCAAGTGCGTGTAAGAGTGGGTACTTAGTCTTAAGCCTCATTACTTCGTATATCTTTGTTTGCTTTTGTGAAAATCGATATTGTGCTTGTGTTGCTTGGAGGAAAAAATTGAATCTTTGAATCGTGAATGCTTGACTAAGTGTGATTAGGAGTTGAATGCTTGCTCGTCTTATGCTAGAGCTTGGTTTAGCTTCCTAGGGTTTTAGCTAGCATGGCAATGTTTGGTTATTTGCGTGTGATTGATCATGGAGACTCCGACAAACCAAAATCTCTCTTTCCCCCTTGATTTCTCTCATCTTCTTGCGTGCTTAGTTAATTGCTTTCAATGCTCTTAATTTCGTAGATTAGTTTAGCTTAAATTGAACCCCTCAATTCAAGTGATTAGCATGTTTAGGATCTTTTTGGTTGTGTCACTTTGACGACTAGGTAGTGAACGAAGCTCCGAAGAGCCTTCCTTTGAGAACGACCTGAGTCGGGTAGCTCGGTTACCACATGCCCAAAAATATTACAAACAAAATGGCGCCGTTGTTGGGGAAGGCGAGTAGGACGCCAAGTTTACTATCTGGTTGTCGTTTGTTTCCGTGTTTTTCTTGCTTTTTGTGGATTTTGCTCGTTTTTGCGTGTTTCTCTTGATTATTTGCTTATTTTCCATTTCTCTTGCTTTTTTGTATGTGTGTCCGTGTATATATCGTGTCATTTTAGTTTTGCTTTGTGTTTTCTTTCTTTTGCCTCGTGTGCCTTGGTTGTTTTGTTGTTCTTGTGCGAGGTACTTCGCTTGAGGAGCTCCGATGGATCCATACGGCTATTCTTATGCCGGTAGCTCGTCTCGTGGACACCCCGACGACTACCATGAGGAGATGTATTTATATGGAGGGCCGCCATATTCGTATCCGAGCCTTTCTTACCCGCCATCTCAAGTTGATTTTGTTTATTACTCTCCGGGTCACGACGAGGCGCCTCACTACTATCCACCACCTCCCGTTTATTATGAAGAGACATCTCTACCCGAGCCGACTCGGGAATCTTCTCGAGTCAATCTAGCCGAGATTATGGAGCACTTAGAGGAGTGCAATCGATCTCTTCGCGCTTCAATGGCTCCCACATCCAAAAATGAAGAAATCGAGTCCCATGCTCCATCTTCTCCATCATTTGAGCACCTATCGGTTGGCCAACCTTGTACACCGAGGACCAAAGCTTCAAGTCCATCAACGGTTGTGCCTACCGAGCGTCACCGAGAGGTTTTGACGAGCACTCAAGAGGCACTTGCGAGCCTTATGTCGATCATTGAGGAGTTTCATAGTTGGAGGTGTATTCCCATTCCATTCGTTCTTCAAGTCACACTTACGAAGTTCGACTCTACCGTGGTCTCTTTCCTTGATTTGGATGCATCTCACATTCCGCTCGGTAGATATTGTTCTCTATCAGCGAGGGTTATTCGAGAGAGCACCCGGTTGGAAGGCGAGTTTCGAGCTATGGTGGATAGGTTTGCCTCCTTGAAAGAGGTGGGCCTCACTCTCGTTTATGATGGAACACAATCTCTCGACACGAGTGAGGACATCGACGATTTGATTGTCAAAGAAATTCCCTCTCTCGACGATTCGGCCGTGCAATCCACGTTAGGTACGTCAACTCTTTCTTTCGGTGATAGTGCTTTGAGCTTTGATTCTATTGTTGAGAGTGAGTGTATGGATTCGGGTGTTGATATGGTGTATGATATGGGGGAGAATTCATTTGAGGGTTCGATTGTGTCGAACGGTGTTGATAGTGCTCGGGAGGATGATATTGAGGAGGAGGATGTGGTCATTGATGATTTTGTGGATGTTGTTGAGGAGGATTTAGAGCTATTATGTGATGTCGTGGACCCGAGGTGTGCGTTGATTGAGGAGTTGACTTGTGATTTTGAGTATGACGTGGTTCCTATGTCCTTTAGGTCGTCATTTCGTATTATTGAGGACCGTGACCATTTGGAGGAGTTTAGTGTGCCTAAGCCCGTGCTCTCGATGCTTGAGCTTGATGAGTACACGTTCCAGATAGTGCAAACGATGAACGGGATTGATTCGACGTGCTCCACGAATATTTTTATATTTTCAGAGGTCGAGTATGGGGCCTCGGTTCGTAAGAATTTGTCTCTTCTCTTGGTGGTTGTTGATATCCGTGCTCGGTTTCACAAGAATTCGGCTACGAGAGTGTTTTGGCCCACCTTTGTTCGGTGTTTCCGGCTCGTCTACTCTTGGAAAATACGAAGGCGTGGCATGATCGTCATTTCTTCTTGGATCCCGATTGATTTTCGTTGGGGACGTCGAGCTCAAGACATTAAATTGAGCGCTTCGTGGGAGGCAACCCATGGTTATTGCATTTCCTTTCTTTTTGCTTTCTTTGGAAATAAATAGCCACACAAATCACACGACACACGTCATTTTGGAGAAGGAAACGGGACTTGGAGTCGAGATTTTTTGTTGAAAATTGGGTTAAATTATTGCGAGTGTGGAAAATTTGGACTAAGTACGGATATTATTTGAGTGAAGATGGCCCGAAAATCGAGCAAAAATTGTGCTCGAAAGTTGATTTGGGAGTTGGAGTTGAAAAAGTTTGAAATATGCCTAAGTATGGAGTGCCTTAGGAGCCTTGAGAACTCGCGAGCAAAACAGCATTGGCGCCCGACGAAAACACACTCGCGCCGCGAGCTTCTTTTCGCGCCCAGCGAACTCGTTCTCGCGGCTCGTGACTTCTTTTTCGCTGGCGAGCTTGTACATGCAAAAATTCAGCCCCAAGGGGTTCGCCAGCCGAAACCATGTTCGCGCCCAGCGTGCTCACACTCGCATGCGAAACCATTTTGGTGCCCAGCCACTGCGGCCTTGCAACCCGCGAGTTCCTTTTCGCCCGCGAATCCTGCATATCTCCAATTTTCAGCTTCAAGTTGTTCGCTTGCCCAAAAGACTTCCACTAGCCACCAAACTCATCTCGCTAGCCAATGACCATTCGCGACCCGCGAACCCCACCAACCCACCTTCTTCCCCAAGCACTCCGGCCGCCACGCGCCACCGCGCACCGCCGCCCGCCGCCACTTTCTCTGGCCAACCACCTCCGATCATGACATATCATATATCAACGCGAAGCTCTCGTCGACGCCGACAACATAACCGGAGCTCAAACAAAAATTCCGGCGAGAAGGCTTCCGATTTTTCGGCAAAAGCTCGTAGATCTACAAATCACTTCAACCTTCATATCCAAATTGCCGGCGACTCACTTGGACCCACCAAAATACGAAGGCACCCTCGGACTCCTCTCGCCGGGGCGCACCTTTTTCGACCACCATTGCCGGAATCCGGCGAACTTTTTCGGCGACCATTTTTTCCGGCGAATGAGCACCCACCGAGCTTCCGGTTAGTATTTTTTAGCTTTTCTTGTCATATACCATCAACTCCTATCGTTGAGTAAATTTTCCGGTGATCGGAGCTCTACTTTCACCTATCTCTCTACTTATACACTCCGGCAACCGTTTTTCTCGACGTTTTTCAAGTCGTGGTGGGTGATTGGAGTTGGACTCGTGTGCTAGGCTCGTCTTACCGGGTGTGCCAACTTTTTGGGTTGTTGTCGGTAGTTTGAGATTGTAGATCGCTACGCACGGCAAGCGCCGGTAATCGATTCGTGTGTTGAACCAAAAAGAAGTTGGTCGTGTCATGTTATGGCGAGTATCATTGATGGTTTCGAGGCTCGATTCTTGAGCTTTCACGCATACATGTGTCTTCGTTGAGTTTTTGAATTCGTGGTTGTTATTTCTCCGAGATGCATACAAGTGGCCTTTATTAGGAACCAACGGATGGGATTCTCTTATACTTTGCAAGTCAAAATGCTTGGTTGGCTTATTGAGTCTATGCTTACAATGTACAATCGTTCGGGTGGCTTCATTTGTGCTCGATGGCTTACGGATGATTTGTTCTTTTCCCACCGGACGAACACCATTAGACACACGGTGGTGCACCACCGTGTAGAGTACGCATTTTCTTTTCCTATTTTCTTTATCTTTAGTTGTTTCTTGTGTGTTCTTGTGTTTGTTTTCCTTTCGTGTGCTCGTTTATTGAGTTTTGTTTTATTTTTCGCATGAACTTGTGTGATTGTGTGCTCGATCCTATGCTTTTTGGTCAAGCAATGAGGACATTGCTTTGTTTTAAGTGTGGGGAGGGATTTTCGTGATTACGCATGTTTAGGTAATATTTTCTTCGTTTTGATGTCTTATTTTTCATGTCGTGGACCGGTTTTGTTTGAGTTTTTGTGTGTTTGTGTCACCTCTCCCGCATGATGCTCTATGTTTGTTCGAGAGTCGAGATAGCTAAGTGGTGAGTCGAGATTATTGATTGGTTTCACTATTAGTGTTCATGCTTGATGTACTTGATGAATTTGATGGTTTCCTTAAATTGATTGATGATTCGTTGACATTGGATCCCGCATGTGGATTCACGAAATTGTTTTGTCCCTTGTTTGTTCTCGATTGATTGTCTTGAGGCATGCTTTCTTTAAGTTTGATTATCGTTGTAAACGTGTTATCTATACACTTGTGGTACATTTCGATTGAGTTGAGATGATTATGTTATTGTAATTGTGCTGTATCCTTGTGTGCCTCTCCCTAAAAAAAAAGAACAAGATGTGAGTTCGCGAGGAAGTACGGATTAGGCTTCTCTTATTCCGAGCCACTTCGTGGATTCGGATAATGAGCCCGGAAAACCGGTTTAGGAAACTCGGGGAAACCCCTCGAGGTTAAACCTAGATCATCTCATCCAGAAACCTCGTTTGGAAAAAGATGCTCATGAAAATGAGTTCGTGGGAGTCGAATAGATTAGGCTCCTCTTGGCTCGGTTAATCTTCTAGATAGATTGGGTCTATGAGCACGGGAAACCGGCCTACGAGACTCGGGGATAACCCCCGAGGTTAAACCTAGGTAATAATCGTCCTAACGGCTCTCATTTTGAAAAAGTTGCTCATTTAAAAAAAAAAAGAAGAAAAAAAAAAGAGAAAAAGAAGAAAATTGGGGAATTGACTTATTGATCTCGTCCTTATCATTTCATGTTTTGTAGATCGTTTATGGTTTTTGCACGTATATGTGAATAAGGAGGTATGACTCTAGTGATCATTTGTGGAATGACTTGGGACGAGCTTTTGTTTCGTTTGATTCACTATGTGGGGACCGTGTCTCGGATTTGATTTTGATTTTAGGGATAACCGGATGATAATGAGAGATTCATTTCGCATGTTCGTTAATTTTGGATCGTTCAATTTATCTCTTCGAGCTATTTGTTATTTTGTTTGCTTGAGGACAAGCAAAGAGTTGTTGTTTGTTATGTTTTTGTGCATATTTTCTTGTGTTTTATGTGCTTTAGTTGAGTCATTTTTTAGGTTCGTTTTAGTGTCATCCGGTCCATTTTATCGTATTTTATGTGTTTTTGCTTTCGCTATGTGTTTTTGTATTTTTTCCGTATTTTCGCGTCTCTTTTGGTGTTTTGTTTAGGTCTCATTTGCAATCTCGGGAAGACGTGTAGTTTGTGTCATTGACCGAGACATTTCCGAGCCATGTCCGAATCTTATTTGAGCCATTCGGACCACTTCGAAGCCATCCCGAGCCATTTTTAAGATGCGATTCGAACCCAAGGAAGTCCCTACACTCGCAGCTAGACGCGATTGGCGACCCGCGAACAGGCACGCTCCACACAAGCCCACAACTCGCTGCGGAAGAGATTTGGCGCCCCGTGAGATGATGCATGAGAGAAGGCCCATGCTGCGGCACTCGCTGCGAACTCATGTTCGCGTGCTGTGAAATGGTGTGCAAGAGAGCAACACTAGGCACTCGCTGCGGAAGTTGTTTCGCGCCCCGCCAAATGCCACTCCACAGCCACCAAATGTCGAAATCGCTGCGAAATCAGTTTCGCAAGCTGCCAACCGCACATTCCAACACACTATTCCCCCAACTCGCAGCGATCTTCATTTAGTGAGCTGCGAAATGCACTTTTCAGTTGATTTTTCACTCACACTCGCTGCGAATCCAATTTCGAGACCTGCGAACTTCATGATTTCTTTAAATGTGTTTGTTTTTAGTGTGTGTTTGTGGTGTAGCTATATATAGACATTGTGCTTTGTATTTTTAGAGACAACCCTCATTTCCCAACTTTTAAGTTGGGAAAATCCTCTCTATTTTCTTTTTTCTTTTCTTTTTTTATATTTTGGTTTGGAGCATATGAATCAAGTTTTCCGGAGAATTTCCGGCGACATTGTTTCGAGTAGAGTTTCGAGCTTTTGACTTTGTTTCTCCTTCCAAGTGCGTGTAAGAGTGGACACTTAGTCTTAAACCTCATTACTTCGTATATCCTTGTTTGCTTTTGTGAAAATCGATATTGTGCTTGTGTTGCTTGGAGGAAAAGATCGAATCTTTGGATCGTGAATGCTTGACTAAGTGTGATTAGGAGTTGAATGCTTGCTCGTCTTGTGCTAGAGCTTGGTTTAGCTTCCTAAGGTTTTAGCTAGCATGGTAATGTTCGGTTATTTGCGTGTGATTGATCATGGAGACTCCGGCAAACCAAAATCTCTCTTTCCCCCTTGATTTCTCTCATCTTCTTGTGTGCTTAGTTAATTGCTTTCAGTGCTCTTAATTTCGTAGATTAGTTTAGCTTAAATCGAACCCCTCAATTCAAGTGATTAGCATGTTTAGGATCTTTTTGGTTGTGTGACTTTGACGACTAGGTAGTGAAAGAAGCTCCGAAGAGCCTTCCTTTGTGAACGACCTGAGTCGGGTAGCTCGGTTACCACATGCCCAAAAATATTACAAACAATGACAATTTTGTAAAAATCAAAATTTTCCTATTTTGTTAAAAAATTTTGTTTACCATAAAATCGAGAATTTCGAATTAGGCAAAATACTATAACACGTGTATGTACATAATTGCAACATATCATGTTTATTAAAAAAAAAAGTTGAATTGCATAGAAATCGAGCCAAATTTCAAATTGAAAATTAAAATTTAAAAATATTGTATCATTTGGCTACTAATTTCTATATATATATATATCTATATAATGGACGAATCCATTTTGCCAAAAATGGACGAAGTTTTCCCGCTTAAAATTTTTTGGATAAAATTGGAAATATTGTTTGTATACCAATTCTGTGGATAATTTTGTTAGCAAATATTTTGGAAATATTGTTTCTATAACAATCCCGTGGATAATTTTGTTAGCAAATATTTATTAATCCTGTGGATCTTGCTTGGCCTTGAGCAATGATTTTATTAGCAACTATTTTGTTAGCAAATATTTTGTTAACTTTAGGAGGATATATTATATTTGGGACGATAGATTTTGTTAACAAAGATTTTATTGTTAATTTACATAAACACGGTATCAAAAAATAGAAGGATTCTAATTGCATTTTTTTGCAAATATTAATATAAACATATTGCCATCTTTATGTCAATTATAATTAATTTATTAATTAATATACACATATTATCATCTTTACGTGAGATGTGATTATATAAATCCTGATTAAGATTGAAACTACTGTCACAAAAAATATATTTTATACGTACTCAGCAACAAAGGTTCAGAAAAATACCTCCCCTTTTTGTGTCGGTCAAAAAATTGACGAGCACATTGTCACAACTGCCTCTTAAACTTTGTCTAATTAGGATGTACGAAAGGGTTACAACCAATGGAGGAAACGTGATTCACTTTATTGAGTGCATCTTTCATGATTCCGAAGTGCGTATATTGTAGAATATTATTAGTCTAGCTATCTAATGTGCTATTCATATTTATTGTCCAATATTATTAGTCTAGCTATCTAATGTGCTATTGATATTAAATCTAGCAATATGTAAACTTTTCTTTTTTTTTTTTTTAATTTGATATGTTTATGGCAGTAATGCTCTCCTACCCACGGTAGACTCATGTTAATTTGTCCACCGCTTATGTGTCATGCATAGATTGATGATGTATATTTTTGAACATATTAACATCACCAATGTGTGCATGCCACATAAATTGTGGACATATTAACATGTGCCCAGCGTGGGTAGGGGAGCATTACTCATGTTTATGGTGTGTGGTTCACAAAAATTACTATTTTAATCATACACATTAGTTTCATATACACACATATAATACATAAGGTTTCATCATACACACGCACATTAATTTCACAATTTTTTTTTATTTGATATGTTTCATATGAAATTTAAATACATTTTATGTTCGTAGGGATCGGATTCAAGGTACTATAAAACAAAAGGATAGAGATATCAAGAAGACTCTTGTGGAAAGAACAATTTATGCTATAAAAAATTACAACTTTGAGAAGTGGCAAGGTCAGTCGCTAACACATGTCGGCCTGTTTTTAAAAAATTCTGTATTCAGTCACGGACAGTTGTATGTGGCCGTATCACGTGTAACCAATCATGGTGGTTTAAAAATCTTAGTGTGTGGAGATCAAGCTTCTAAGACTCAGACCGAAAATGTTATGTATAAAGAAGTTTTTAATAATATCTAAATATAATGAGTTTGACTTACTATTTTTCTTTAAAAAAAAAAAAATATATAGAATAGCTTCTTACAATAGGTTGTCTTAGAACTATACGTGATATATAAAATATATGTGATATGTTATCACTTTTTGATATGCAAATACCTTTAAAATTCATGTGGGCATCAGTTACCACTTGTGATTTCCTTTGTGATGGTTGATGAGTGTTAAAAAAGTCAATGACTATTAGTAACATACACGTCGGCTGTTATGTTTCAATAAATTAAAAACTCTATTTTGTGCTATCTGATGCAACAGTTATCTTGGTTTTAAAATATTAGTTTATGAATACCACTATGACCGGTCATACCATCAATCTATGTATAATGGAATTTTTAATAATATCAAAATAAATTTCATTTTTTCAATTGATTTGCAAAAAATATACATTTTTAATTAATTAACTTACGATAATTAGTGTTATTGAACCATATCCCCCGTGCATCGCACGAGTTTAACACTAGTCTATATAAAGAGAGAACCTATTTACCAAAAATAATAACAAAAAAAGTCAACCAGCATTTATTGCATACTATTTTTACCAGTTTTTAAATTTTCTTTCTAAATTATTCCCAAAATTAGCTATATATGAACCATAAGTTCATTGGTTTTATGGATTTAACTTAGCTAAATTTCGACTGTTGCTTACAATTTTGCAAATGTAAAAATCGTTTCTCATTTTTAATAAAAAATGATTACATTAAAATAAAAAATTTAGAATTAGGCAAAATACTAACACATATATCCAGTGATGAATCTAGATATTTGACTCAGGTGGGGGGCATTTTAAATTTTAAATAACGAGCTTGTAGTTTAAGTCGAAACACTCATTTCATACAAAAATGTATTTACTATAAACAGAAATATCGATAGGTGTAACATCAAGTATTTTAAGAACTTAAAATCCGTATCACCCTCAAACATTAAAAAAAAAAAAATAGAGAGATTTCAGGTATTTATAATTTAAATTCAACATCTATAAGTTATGGAAAAATAAATTTTTTGGTAGAAAATTTGATTTAAATTGAACTTTTCAAGCACACTGCATAACATTTTGGTTGATGAGAGCTTACCAAATGAACATTTTTTAAGAAGTTAAAAATATGTGATAATACAAAAAAAAAAAAAACAAATATTAAAAAACATAACAATGTAGTTAAATACTCGGTTTTATATCGCTAAATTAATTTACAATTAAGAGACCGAAAGAATAAATCACTAAAAATATTTTCAAAAACTTATCTAGGTATGAAAAATATAATAAATGTTAACGCATTTTTCAATAAATAAGTATTTTTATAAGTTTAAATAAAAGCAACATAAAAAAATTTAAAATAATATACTGTAAAGATTTTTTGCATTTCAATACATATTTTATATTATTTTTCTTTCGACATCCCAACGAAAATCAACCGGGATCCAAGAAGAAATGTCGATCATTTCGCGCCTTCGTATTCTCCAAAAGTAGCCAATCTCGTAACACGGGCAGGGAGGAGTGGAGTGAGTGGTGGTCCCGAATCTTCTCTTTCGCCATCAACTCTTCCACTACCACTATATGTTCAAATATATACCATACGGGTGTTGGACTGCAATGCAGATATTTTCTCTCTCTCTCTCTCTCTCTCTCTCTCTCTCTCTATATATATATATATATATATATATATATATATATGTATATTGATTTTTACAAAAAATGAGGGAGGTCCACGGGCCCCCCTGGCCTCATAGGGCTCCGTCCCAGCATATATCTTTTCCTAATTGCAATTTGTTTATTAAAAAAATACGGATTGCATAGAAACATGGTTCATTTAGGTCAAATCCGGCATGGCAATTTTGTAAAAATCAAAATTCTCCTATTTTTTAATAAAAATTGTTGTTTACCATAAAATCAAG